AATTTTTTATTCAGAAGAGTTCCACTTCCTTTGTGTTGAATTTTAAACCGAATAACCCACGTTTAGTGTATTTTGTGCTCGTTTTTTCCACTTAAAAATTTGTAAACAAAACACAGCTGATTGAAATGGCTGCATCGAATAACAGTGCTAGTTCTAATCGACAAGGATTTCGATCTATGACTGCCGATGAGGCAAGTAAATTGATTTGCTTAGACGATTCAAGTTCAAATGAAGATAAATCTGACAACAGCGATAGTGATAGTGATTACGAAAATTTATTATTTGAGGAAACTAGTGATGAGGAATATATTCCGACTACAAAGAGACAAAAAGTATCCATTGGAAAAGGAAAAGGAAAAAAAAAATCACCACCAACTAGGCCTAGTTCAAGTTCTACTAATTCTGTGGCTTCAACATCAAAGCATAATTCATCTTCATCTAAAACTAGTCAATCTACTAGTTCAAATTATTTCCCTACTGAGACAGAGTGGTCCGAAGTCCTAACAGGACAAACTGAAAACAATTTCCGATTTCATCCCCTTAGAAATCCTGGAGTTTGCCCTAAACTTCAAAACATTGTAAACCCTACACCTATTAACTTTTTCAATGAACTATTTGATGATAATGTTAAAGATTACATTGTTGAATCTATAAATGCCTATGCTAAAAAGAAAGTTCACATGAACACACCTGCACTTAGACGCTCTGTCTTTAGTCGATGGGTGGACATATCAAGGCAGGAGCTAGACAAATTTATTGCTGTTCTCATCTACATGGGGATGTATAAAAGGCCAGCTATTTCTGATTATTGGTCTATGTCTGCTGAATCCTATATTCCATGGATACACCATGTATTCAACAGACAGAGATTTCAGGACATCTATCACTCCATGCTACACTGTGGCGATGAAAATTCCGAAGGGAAAGATAAAATTGAACCATTTATGAACTTACTCTTGAATAAGTTTAGAAATGCATTCTACCCTTTTCAGGAACTTAGCATAGATGAAACCGAAGTCCTAACAGGACAAACTGAAAACAATTTCCGATTTCATCCCCTTAGAAATCCTGGAGTTTGCCCTAAACTTCAAAACATTGTAAACCCTACACCTATTAACTTTTTCAATGAACTATTTGATGATAATGTTAAAGATTACATTGTTGAATCTATAAATGCCTATGCTAAAAAGAAAGTTCACATGAACACACCTGCACTTAGACGCTCTGTCTTTAGTCGATGGGTGGACATATCAAGGCAGGAGCTAGACAAATTTATTGCTGTTCTCATCTACATGGGGATGTATAAAAGGCCAGCTATTTCTGATTATTGGTCTATGTCTGCTGAATCCTATATTCCATGGATACACCATGTATTCAACAGACAGAGATTTCAGGACATCTATCACTCCATGCTACACTGTGGCGATGAAAATTCCGAAGGGAAAGATAAAATTGAACCATTTATGAACATACTCTTGAATAAGTTTAGAAATGCATTCTACCCTTTTCAGGAACTTAGCATAGATGAAATGGTAATAGGCTTCAAGGGCAGATGGCAATTCAAACAATATAATGCCACTAAGCCTAGCAAATATCATATCAAGACATTTGGCCTGTGTGATTCCTCAACGGGTTATGTTGTTGATATTTTGACCTATTTTGGGGCAAATACCTCCTATAACCCAGAAACAGATAAAGATGGAGGACAGGCTGTGCAAGTTTTTCATACTTTACTGCAGCATGTGGGTACTGGACACAAAATTTTTGCTGACAGATATTATACGTCAAGAAAACTTGTTGACTACCTTCTTGCCAAAAACCAATACTACACAGGAACACTGAATATCAACCGCATTGGATTTCCACTAGACATAAAATCTTTATCTTTACAACAAAAAGAGATGAAGTGGTATATAAACCAAAACAAGAGCATGCTCTGTGTTGCTTTCAGGGACAAAAAGGCAAAAAAAAATGTCATATTAGTGTCCACAGATGCTAGGGTACAAGTTACCGAAACAAAAAAAATGGATAAACCGGAAATGATAGACATTTATAATCACAAGATGAATGGCTGCGATAAGCTAGACCAAAAAGTAACATATTACTGTGTTTATGAGCGAAAAACATTGAAATGGTGGAAAAAGATTTTTTTCTGGCTGTTAGAAATTACACAGGTGAACTCGTACATTTTGTTTTTACTCTGTCAAGCAGCAGATGCAAACAAAGTAAAAATGAGTCTAAAACAATATAAACTTATGTTGATGCGTCAGCTAACCGAGGAAGTAGCATTAAATCAAGTACTAAAAGCACCAGGAAAGGGTCCAGAGACCGGATGCCTCGAAAAGTCTAATGATGCTCAGCACATTGTTGATTATCATGAAAGGGACCGATCTTGTGCATATTGCTCAACTGCAACAAAGCGAGTACGCACACATTTCTATTGTACTGGGTGTGAAGCCAAACCCCATCTCCATCCTAAAGGATGCTTCAAGGCCTTTCATTTAAAATAATAGCTTCATTTGTGTATATATTTAGTAAATATGTGAAATATGTGTAAATATTTGAGTATAACTATTTTTATTGTTGAATTTTTGAAAAAAAAATTTAACCCGTGTCTTGGGAAAGAAATTCATAACTTTACAATTTCTGGAGCTACTGCAATGAAACTTTCCAGTTGTTTTGGATGTATCACAAGGCTCATTTTAAGAAAATATGAACTTGATTGGATTATTGTTACCTGATTTCTGAGCTGGTGAGTAAAGCAAAAAAAAAAAATTTTAAATAATTTTTTACATAAACCTGCAATAATACCCCCAAAAATTTTCTTTGGGTAATTCTTTATCACTTTTTTATACTAGAAACATATTCCTTTTTCAATTACCTACATTTGGATATGCAGCATGATATAATTTTGATAAATAACAAAACAGAGCTTTTCAGTTTAAAATCATCAGGTCAAATAGAATTTTAGTCCCAAAATTTTACTGCGTTCCCTTAAAAAAATTGTGACGTATTGA